AAAAAAAAAAAAAAAAACAATCACCTGAACTTATTGTTGTTGCCCTTTCCAACCCAGCAAACCAAAACCACTTGTGACGCAAAACCTTGGAAAAAAAAACAAAAAAAAACTTGGAAACTGCTGGAAACTGCCAGAACTGGAAGCCGCAGCGCAAACCGGGTAGGGGCAAGGTTCTACTGAGCTTGCTGCTGTGGTGAGGTTTTCCCTGAATGAAATCCCACGGCGTTCATTTTCCCGCGGCTGCAGCAAAATAACTGGTCACTGTGCGGCCCGGCTGGCCACATGCGACTGCTATCGCGGCTTGTGCCGCGACCGGGCGTGGCAGGAGCAGGGGTCCAGCGAAAAATGAATGAAATCCGCAAGGACTCCCCCCGCGCCACCCGGCTGCCTAGTGGATAACCTAGGGTTCGGGCTTCCCCCCCCATAGTTGCACGCACATGGGCTGCCGAACCTGTTGCCGCTGTGATGTTCGTTCCTCCTGGGCCCTTGGGCCAGAAACAGCATTCTCGTGGCCACAACACGGCCATGCCCTGCACCACGGCTGTGCCGCGGCCGAAGCCCTGCGAGGAAAACAAAAGAAGCTGTGTGTCGCGCTGTTCCTGTCTGCAAGATTGGATCTGTTATGAAGGACCGCTCAGTCTGTCAAACAACTCTGTACTTGTATGGCCGCGACATAGGTTGAGGTATGCAGGAACCCGCCCATTTGTGCAGCCATGCTCAAGTACTGGTCAGTGGTTCGTGTTTTTGATTTTCAAATTGTTATCCCCTGGACTTTTGACTTGCTTTCCTGTGCTCCGTGCGCCTGCCCTGCTTCACTCTCCAAGTGCCTGTCTCAGGCCTGCCTTCTGCACCTGCTTGGACTTCTGCTGTGGACTTCCGTGTGGGAGCCCGCAACCAGAGTGCTCCTGTTCCGCGCTGTGTTGGCTGCATCGGGCGTGGACAATCATTCCTTCGCTTTTCGTTTTTTGCAAGTTATGTTTTTTCCGTTTTGGTTCGGACCTGCTTACCTGTCACATGTTTTTTTCGCCACTTGATGCTTAGACCTTGTGAGGAAAACAAGGGGCTGTGTACTGCGCTTTTCGCTTTTCTTGTAATTATGCAAAGTTGATTTTGATGGACCAGGCACTCTGTCAAACATGGAGATTTGGGTGCGTGGCTCATAGCTATCCTTGCCGACTGACAAGGCGCTCGTCCCATTCGATACACCTGGCACTCCAGTGTCGCATGTTCGCCTCTGCCACTCACACGAGCCCGTTGCGGTGGTGAATGCGCGCCATGCAGCCGTGCCATCGTAGACGAGATGGGGTGGCACCAGCACCGGGATGTCGTTGTAAACATGCGCCTCGTCGCCCTGCGGGCGCCGTGCTCCGGCCTCGTTGCTCTGAGCCGCGTCGCAAGGCTCGGGCAGCGTTGGTGGGGAGCTTTGGCAGTGGCAAGCCAGCGGGCGACGTGCAGCACAGTCCTTGGCGTTTGGATGATGCCCATGCTGCCAAACGCCAGAGGGGAGCTGCCCGTCGCGGAAGCCCAGCAGGCTGCCGCTGCGATAGGGGCGGGGGGCCAGACAACAGCCGCAGACGTAAAAAGGCGCGAGAGAGAAAAAAAAAACAATTGGGCTTGTTACAATTGCTTCACAGTTAATTTGGTACATCAACAGCTTTCAGCGGTTGAGCCTAAAGTTCGAGAAAATAGTGTGATAAGATGGCTCTTTACATCACGCTTTGCAAATCGTAAGCTGTTTCTACCGGAGCGTTGGAGCTGTGCAGAAGAAATACCATGCCGAACGAGGGTTTTCATGCACGACATTTAGCGATATTTCTGCAGTGGGTCATTTGGACAAGGACAAGTGCCACCCCTGGAGCGATTCATGCCGCAGCAATTTGCGTCCATGAGGGGAGGGGTGAGGCAAAGACCAGTGTGACACGCGCAGCACATTGCGCCACGCAAACATCATGCAATATCGATGAGCTTACTGCTTGGCAGGCTTTGCAGCAATCTCGGCATGTTAGGTCGCAAAGAAGTAGTAGAGCCCATGAAAAGCGAGTGGTGGTGACACGGCGACGCCGATCTTGCAAACGGCGTCAAATTCGCATCCTCTTTGTGCACATCGTCGCATTTTCTGAGGAGTGTAGTGGTAATCAAACACGCCAGGTTCGATACCGTGCAAGTAAAGATGCAACATCAATGATTAACAAGTTAACCATTTTGGCGTGACGCACGCCTTCCGAGTCCAAGCCTGCAATGCTGTGCCTGACAGGTTGAGCGACGCAATGCGCAGTCTGGGTCGGACGTTGCCATGAAGATGGACCTTGACGACAGTGTCTCAGAACCGGAAGTCACGAACATTTGTGAGGAGCTTGATGACTTCCATGACCTCCTGCTTGCAAGTCAACAGCAACCTGAACAAGAGGACAGCGGGAGAGCCAGCGATAGCCAGTCTAGATCCAGTGCAGGGAGGGTAAGTGAGTGATGTGTTTCTTGCATGTTGGTTTTCGCACCCGCGGGTTGTGACAGGACAACGTGTTGCCGGCACTAGCTTTACCTGACGACCCCTTGTGCGGCGGTGTCAAAGCCTTCATTGACCTCCTGGACAGCGGAGAATGTGTGCGGCGGACTTTGCCATTACCTCAGAATTTGCGAAAGTGGGCAGACGAAAACAATGCAAGTTTTACGCGTGCGCCTCAGTTGGGGAAGTCGTTGAAAGTACACGTCGGCTGACTTGGAAGCTGATGTGAAGTATCAGATTTGCTGCTGAGTGCAGGTGGCTGCCGCAAATGCGAGGTCTCTTGCGAGACCATTGGGGGCACCCGGCCACTCGCTGTTATGCCGATGGTTTTCATGTAGTGTGGAAGCTGTCTAGGAGGGGCGATTCCTAATTGCAAGGGTCCAATGCTGTCATGCCTGCATTTTGAGGAATTGCGTGGCTTACAACTTCCTGTCATCAATGCCCTCATGTCTGGGAAGGATGTCTTCGCAGTCATGCCCACAGGTTCCGGCAAATCGCTCTGCTACCAGCTTCCGGCTATGGTCAGGGATGGCACGACCATTGTAGTTTCGCCGTTGCTGAGCTTGATGGAGGACCAAGTTTCGAGTTTGCGAAGCCGTGGAGTTTCGGCTGCACGCCTGGGAAGTGATACCACGCAAGCAAAGACAACGCAGGTTTTCCAAGATCTGGCTGCTGGGGAGATACAGCTTCTGTACGTATCCCCAGAAAGAATTGTGGGGACCAACGAGAAGGGCCACGCGCTGGGGAAGTTAGGGGCAATTCTGAAACAGCTGTATGACAGCGGCCGCTTAACGCTCCTTGTCATTGATGAAGCTCACTGCGTCTCTCAGTGGGGCCTAGATTTTCGCAGCGATTATCGGAAATTGTCGTGCATGAGGGGCAGATACCCGGGCGTTCCTATGCTCGCGGTGACGGCCAGTGCGACGGCAGGGGTGGAGAGAGATGTGGTAAAAAACTTGAAGATGCAAGATGCGGTAAGTTTCCGAGACACATTTGACAGATTCAACCTGTTCATGGAGGTGCGCCCCAAGGTATCAGAAGATCAATCGATACGCGAGCTGGTGGCCCTGGTGTTGGCGCCGACGTCTCCAAAGCCAGCTTGTGGTGTTGTGTACGTTCTCGCACGCCGGGAGGTGGACCGTGTGTGTGAAACATTGTGCGAGCTTGGGGTGTCCGCGTGTCCTTACCATGCGGGGTTGCCTGTTGGAGTTCGCCGCGATTCCTTTACCAAGTGGATGCAGGGCGAGTGCCAACTCATAGTAGCTACCGTTGCCTTCGGCATGGGCATTGACAAAAGGGACGTGAGGTTCGTCTTCCATCTTGATATGCCATCCTCCATTGAAAAATATCATCAAGAAATTGGTCGTGCTGGAAGAGATGGACGCCCGTGCCGATGCATACTTTGGTTCTCGCGTGGAGATGCCCCCCTGACGGCAAGCATCAATGTCTAGCAGGGTCGACAACGTTGCTGTGTTTTCTTTGTGGATAGAAGCGGCAGGCTTTCCAATGCATATCTGAAAATCATGCCTGAATTACATGTCACCAAGCATGCATATGCATACACATATATATATATACTTACATACGTTGAATTGCATGTGTATATGGGCCCAGGTCAGGCGGAACAAGGAAATGTCGCACAAGCAGTACGATGTGAAGAGATGCGAAGATGCAGGGAAGTTCTTCGGTGACAACAGCTGCCGACATGCAGGGCTCCTGAAGTATTTTGGTGAAAAGCCAGCTTTCCAAAATTGTCGGTCCTGCGTGGCTTGGCGGCAAATTTCCGGTCCTGGTTAGCCTTCCCCATCTGTAATACTCACCCGCAGACGCGTTTGTACTACAAGGACCCCTTTTGTACTGCAAGGACCCCTTCACAGCTGAGGATGTCTGTTGCCGCACGCAACTCGGAGTGGGCATGCGCAGCCAACCCCAGCGTCACTTCGCCTTAACATATTGCAGTTGTGTTGACAAAAAATGTCATACAGGAATTCTGGAGATTCAATTCCTGCTGTTTTGCGATGCTTGGATATTTGTGGAGCCTCATTGCTGTGAAGGACCACAAGCAGCAGCAGCAAATCCCAAGAAATTCCCGTGTCCCCAGACTTGAAAGCAATGTTGCTGATGGACAGATTTAGGACCTCTTAGGTTTGCAGCTGCACATGTGGAGGTGATATCACCGAAGAGTGTCGAAAACTCCTGCAGCTCGCGGAGGCACTCATGAAGCATGGAGTCGCCAAGCTGCCTCGCCGAGGAAGCCATTCACAAGGGACCCATACATAAGGACGCTGTACTCATATCGCGAGTCCCCATGGTGCCCTAAGGATTTGTGATTTGTGGCTGGAGCAACTTCAGCCCCGTACGGGCATTCCTTAAAACTCGTGTCTTCTTATATGGATAGAGCGAGTGTGTATGTGTGTGTGTGTGTGTGTGTTTGTGCATGCATGTGTATATAAACATGCAGGCGACTCAACCTTCCTATGAATTCTGCACAACCTCCTATATCCCAGGATCCAGGCCAGGTACCATTATGAGCCATCTACAAAAGTCGAAACATCCTTCATGAAACCCTCTATATACCTCCCAGAAATCCATGTCAACCACGGGACCCAGACCAAAGGCCGCATGATCGACCGTGTGCAGGGGGTATGAATGCAGATGCATTCATCCCCAAAACAATAGGGTCCTTTTTTGGGGCATCCCCAAAACAATAGGGTCCTTTTTTGGGGCAACCTTTTGAGAAGCTCCCAGGTCACTTCAGCCAAGCTTCGTGACGCAGCGCGCGGGAAAAGGGTCGATGGCTCGAAGGTGCCAGCGCCGGAGTGTATATTTAGGCTTGCCAATCCGGGAAATAGTGGGGGATCCGTTCGAAAAGAACGTAATGATCTAGATACTTGGATTCAGAGGGATCGCCGCATGGGCAGGTGCCTAGTCAACCCTTGCATAACCCCTAGACCTTGTCCCGCAGCCAACACAAATCTTTCAGAGGGAGAGATCCTGTACGAGCTTTCAATTTCAATGACATTCTTGTTCTTGTATGCTCTTGTGGTACTAGCGTAGTTACCAATGTGGTGGCGTTGAGTAGGAGTAGTTGGTCCGAATCTTCGAGGCACTTGTCGCAGCTGTCGGAAATGCCGAGTACGTTGGTGCATTCAAGGCTGGTTGCGTGTCTATCAAGGGTTGGTGTCCCTACTCTCATGCTTTATGCTTAGCCTGCTTGGTCTTTCCGTGGACGTGTTGCAGGACCTCAGTGCGGAACTCAGCGAGCTGGCATGAAACACGCGTAAAGAAGTGCACGTGTTTCAAGATCAGCTTTCCCTGGTACTGCTCCCATGGTCGTTTTCATTCTGACCATGACCCCTGTTACATTTATGGCGTGAGCAAAAATACGTTTTGACTGCACTTGCAACTCAAATTTGTCGCGAGTCATCAGGGAGACAGAATTCCAAAGTCCCATGTCCAAGGGCAATGCTTAGGATTTTCTAGGATTCGGGGCTGAGCTGTGGCGCACCCAAAAAAGCGTGAAATCAAAAGCACCTTGGCAGTTAGTGTGGGACTGAACATAGCACCAAATGACATTTGTGTTGAATCGTATGAACCCGTCAAGAAGCTCAAAAACCCCAGCCAGAGCGTAGCAATTTGGTGGGCTTCCTAGGTGAAACATCCGCTGAATCTTCACATAGGACCAAGACTTAAGCAGTTTGATTTTCTGGGTTACAGGGTTTAGCTGCACAAGCAAGGGATGTTCATGCTCTCGGACACTTCTGGTGGTGAGCTTTCAATCATTCTGTAAGGTTTTCTGCCGTGTGCAGCATCTCTTAAGCTACACTACCTACAGAGACTGTTTGGTACGCAATTGGCGCACTGCGCTTGAGGGTCCAGCGGACAGAATTTTCAAGCATGCATAAGCCTAGAGCACGTAAACCCAGAGCTCAGTACCCTAAGAAACCCTAGCCCTGAATCCACCTTCCCTATTTCCGCTGCGCAGTTAAGGTCACAGTCAAGTCGAAGAGCTGATCAGCAAGATGCTGCAGGACAAGGCGTGGTTTACTACAGTTGCTGGAACTGATGCCCCTTCCAAATTAAACCAAGGTTCTACTCTTCGTAAGCCCAGGAAAAACCACAGCTCGTTTCACGTCGGGCCTGGCGCAGCGCTGTTTTACATTTTTTTGCTCCAGGCCTGTTCAACTCTCCAGGTGCATGAGCCACACGTTGGACTTCTAAAGTCGGTCAGATCACTGAGACTGGAGGATGCAGCTGGTAGGGACTTGCTCCTACGGCTGGTGCTACTGTGCTGGTGCTACTGTCCAACTGGTACTCCCACCATTGCAATTGCTGCTGACATTCGTGCTTCTGCTCATGCTGCAGCGTGTGTGCCGCTACTGCGAACGGATGAGGCACCATGCTTTTGATCGCGCCTGACTCGAATGACTTGGCCCTGCACGCTAAATGCAGGTCCTGACGGAGTTCAAGGACCGACTGTTTGGCAAGGGTGCCGGAAAGTTCAACAAGGCGCCGTAGCTTGTTCTGTGGAGCCTGTGGTTGAAAAAGGGGGAGACTCATGGTGATAGTAGGAAGAAAGTGAAGAGTAGCGTGCTCATCCGTCACAGCGTGAGCAGTTGACCCATCTTGTGCAGCACAGCTGCTTGTGTTCAGGTACTCCGCCTGAAGCCAGGAACCAATGCTGACGTTTGGCAGAAGTTCAGATGTAGTTAGCGGGAGACCTGAAGCATGCATTTTGCTCCGACGCGCTGCGACGATTCAGTGCAAGGACAAGTTCAAGAAAGGAAAGCTCAAGCTGCACTTGGGCTGCTATCAATCATCATAGTGGAAGCTTGGAACTGCTAAACCCTATTCCAGAGTTTGGCTGTAGGCACTTGCAGCTTCCTTCGGATGCACCATCCGACCAAGCTGCTGCTACCTCTGCCGTGAGCCATGTGGAGGCATCAGCAAGTATGACGCGCTTTTTTCTGCATCATCATCATCATCATCATCAACATCAACTTCCTCTTCTTCGTCTTCATTATCCTAATTCAACGTCAGTAATCTTGATTGTAATTGCATTGTTGAGTATGACCCATGCAAGAACAGGCGCCGGGGCCGGTGGCGTGCTCGCAGAAATCTGCTCAGCCGGAGGATGCTTCGAAGCCCGCAGGCCAAAGCAAGGAGGACGGTGCCATGGGAGCAGCCCTGATACAGCCAGTGCTGCTGGTGCTGGTGCTGTTGCCACTACTGCGACTGCTACTGCTGGTGCTATTGCTCCTGCTGCCGCTAGGACAAGTATTAGAACTGCTACTTGTACCGCTTCTGGGTCTTGTACTACAGAGACTGTTATAGCTACTGCCACCACGGCCACTGCTGGTGATCTGCCGCTAGTAGCTCCTGCTTTTACCACCGCTGCTGCTACTACTGCTGGTAACGGTACTCTTCTGTTGCTGAGTATTGTTAATGCTGTAGCTACTTCTACAGCTACTCTGACTTTGAGCACGAAAGCTGGCGGAGCTAGGCTTAAGTTAGGTCCTACTTTCGCAGCGGTAGGATCTAGTAGGGGCGGGCCAGCTCTGGAAAGCAGCGAGTTGGGGGTTGATACCGATTGAGTTTTCTGGTGGGGGGATTACCATCGGTTCTCCCACACAAAGTGTAGCCGACAGTGGGGTCGAAAGTGATGTATCAGTACTTGCTGCGGGACGGGATCTGCCCATGGATTGGTTGACTGGCGCGCTACATTTCCGTGGCCATGATGGTACGTGGTTGCGCCTACCCCATGGTCACGGTAGGAAGATTATTTTGCTGGCTGTTCGGGATCAAGCCTCCATCTTCTGTCTGTACTGACGACCTGGCTAGCTGTTGTTGGCTTCGGCTTGCCCCTCAAGTCGGTTTTTTATAGTCGAAAGGGTCTTCAGGACTGTCATTGCTGTTGCTTGCTCTGCTTCGTTCTTGTGATCCTGCTTTTTGACATTCTTCTCCTAAGGGTAAGCATGACTTCAGTTAGCATCTCATTTATTGACGGTCATTTTCACACGAAAAATGTGGATCGTGGCCGTGACCAAGATTATGCTCTCACGGATCCCTACCCTACATAGGCAGGTTCTACCGCCAGCAACGTCCCAAGGCCCTGACAGCAGATGTAGCCCCTTGAAGTGCACAGCCGTTTTTGGCCCATGAATCTAAATCCTAGACTCTAGACCCTAAGCCTTACATAAGGCCTGAACCCGTTAGTTGACCTCTTGCACCAATCTGCAACGTTGGAACTCTGGGCTTCTCGTACGAACCCTTCATACTGGGGTCCTTCTATACCTCTTTATATTAATATTACTTATTATTCATATAATGTTTATTACTACTATTTGTACTATTACTATTACTATTCATATTCTTATCAATATTGTTGTTAGTACTATTATCTGGTTTATTTCGGGCCCATAGTTAGGACCTTTGACAATCGAAGGAGGACGCACCTCCGGCTCCAAAATCAAAGCCCAAGCGACGGCGGACAGCGGCTTCAAAAGCACAAGCAGCTCCCTGCAACGCTGATGGCGAGGACATAGTTGATAGCTGGGGCAGTTTAGGGTTTAGGGTTCGGGGTTTAGGGCTGCGGTTTAAACACAACAGTGCGCGAGAGCATTACATCCTGGCACGCTGCGAATTTCAAAGTGTGGGGTGTTACGTGGAGAAGGGATGACTCAAAAAGAGCGATAACAATGACCGCAAGGTCCAACACTTGAAAAAGACAAGGCACGCAAGATGATTACAGCATCTCGGGCAACACAAGAAGGAAAGGTCTGTGTACAACCCCAGAT